AAAAAAAAAAAAAAAAAAAAAAAAAAAAAATATACTCACCTTAAAGACAAAACAACAACAACTAATGAACAATTTAAAGACATGTTACAGCATATCTGACTATGATAATTGACCTTGAGAAGGCAGGGGAGGTCATTCTTGGAGTCCAAATGAGATCCCAATATAAGGGTCCATGGGTGCTTGAGCCCTGCCCCTCCGCATGTAGATACCATTATCCCATCAAAAACTACTGGGCACTTGCTGTGTGCCAGGTGTACTGCTACATGCTGAGATCAAGAAATGATTTCTGATCATTCTGATGATGACACAGCCCAGCATCCGTGAGGCAGAAGCAGGTGGATCTCTGGGAGTCCAAGGCCAGCCTGAGCTACAGAGGGAGATCCTATCTCAAAAGAAAACAACAAAACAAAACAAAAACTGTTTCTGCAAATGTAGTACAAAACTCTACAGTCAAGAGGAGGTCCTTTGAAAAGGCAGTGAGGTGTTTAAAAAGAAAGATAAATATTCTAAATGAATGTTGAGTGGTTTGGGGCTAAAACAACATTGATACTAATTAGTGATTGCCACAGCACACTTACCTAGCCAATTACTCTTTAAATAATAAGAAATGAAGGTTGGTGGTACGGTAAAAATGTCTACAATTGAATTCATCTCCAACCAGAACTTGATCTTGTCATCAGCTGCCCAAAACTGAAATGGAAACAACACACCCAATTAGATTACCCTGGGGATTTTTTTTTTAAGATTTTAAAATTATTCTATGTACATAAGTATGTTTGTATGTATGTAAGCCTGCATGTTAGTATGTGCACCATGTGCAAGCCTGGTGTCCACAGAGGCCAGAAGAGGGCATCAGAACCTTTGGAACTGAAATTGCAGACAGTTGTAAACTACCATGTAGGAACAGGGAACTGAATGCAGGTCCTCTACAAAGCATCAGGTGCTCTTAACTGAGAAGCTATTTCTCCATTACCTTCCTACCGTCGAGAATTTTAAAGGGACTGTGAAGGATAGTTATTATTCAGCTATATTTCATTCATTAACTGAAGTTTTAATCTCATGCTATTTAACACAGATACAAATACATTTATGCAAACACGCAAATGCATACATATTACATAAAGAGATTGTACCTTGGGCTGAGTGTGGTGATACACAACTTTAATCCCAGCACTTGGGGGGCAGAGGCAGGTGGGTTTCTATGAGTCTGAGGCCACCCTGGTCTACAAAGAGAGTTCCGGGACAGCCAGGGCTATATAGTGTGACTTGTCTCAAAAACCAACCAACCAGAACAAAAGAAAAGTGAGAGGAAGAGAGAAATCACACTTTTAATGAGTGTTCTATTAATGAGCATATAGTCATTTTACCTAACTCTCACATTTAAACACTGTGAGCTTTCTACTGTCCCTAGAGCTTTCTGATATATCTATATAGACACTATGTACATTAATAGAGGATATAATTCTATATATGTACGTATTTCATTTTATAGATCTGCGTGTGTATGTCATATACATAGAGCTTATTATTTGGGATCAGTGATGACATATGGTTTAGGACAGTGTCCATACATGAAGACATAACACCCATACACCTAAAACAAAATTAAGTAGAACTTAAAAACACTTGGAAAACAAATCAAAGATACAAATATAAGATGGCACACACGCCATTAGTATAGCAATGACATTCAAGTTTTGCAAGCTTCTGATTGTCAGTCAGACTTCGCCAGTGGAAGGCCAGAAGCCAGTGAGGACTGCGGACACGGAGTTTAATAGTGGTGTTGTTCCAGTTGTGCTGGAATTCTGGACCTGGCTTACACTTTCAAGCACAGCAGATGAGGGTTTTAGGTCTCACTAAATATTTAACAGCTTAGGGTATAGTTCTACCTTTAGAGCCCGAGAACCAAGGGAGACTGGAGAACTGGGGAACTAACTGGTCTCTTTACATTGCTTCTGGGGGATGGGGGGGGGGAGAGAGACCGTAGTTGTTATCATTTTACCTAGGTACTTACCCTCAACCCAAAATAGAAACTGAAGAAAGCATTGAAACTCAAATCAACAGTGAGGGTTCTGTCTTCAGATGTAGAACACATTCCAGTGAGGCTGGAAAGAAACGGGACCGTTTCGCAAAGATGAAGATTTAAAAACCTATGTCTACACTGGAGCCATAAGGGCGGGACAGGCAATGCGCATATTCACCATGAGTGCTCCATTCAAGAAAGACTCATGCTCACATCTGAATGGAATTATCCTCCTTTGAGGAGTGGAACTATGAATAAGTGAAGGCACAAGACCATCCCTGGAGCTTAGAACAGTGGGGGAATAACCCACGACTCCATCACAGAGCTTATCGGTTCCACTTCAACTTCGTAAGCGCGGATCCAGAATTTTATGGTCCTTTGCGGTTGAGAAACCATTTATCTAGTCAGGATTTTTCAGCTTCTCTAACCCTTTGAGACAAGACTACTTTAGACCAAATGACTGGATCTGAAACAAATTCAAAGGCAGCTCCTAAAAGATGTGTCAGGAATTTACAAAGCAAAGACTACCTTTTCCCTGGGTTTTCTCAAGTAGTGTGGCTTTTGTGGCTGCAATTCTTAATTTTACCCCAGCTGGGTATTTAATATAATTTTCAGAGGTTTGGCATGAAGTTTAAATTAGACTGAGTTTAGTGTTTTAAAAATATTGCCCTAGCCTTAAGATAAATAAGAAGGGGAGGACTTCAAAGAATTGATCCAAGGTTGAATCAATTTCCAAAGCACACAAAGGTCTCTGAAGCCTAACAGAGGCTCTGAGATACCCCAGGACTTCTTTCTCAACTTGTATGGAATTCAAAGCGGCCCCAAGTGAGGGAGCTGACAGCTGGAAGTTTCCAGTCCCAGAAGCTCTGAAGTACTGCTGTACAGCCCACCCCAACACTAGCAAAGGGGGGGGGGCAAAATGCAGGGCTGACGCAGGTGTTTACCACAGAACTGGAGTCAGTGCTCACGAGGGGCAGCTACATGCTTTACCATTTTGATTTCACTTCTGTGAGGGGTGGGAGGCAGGCTGGGGCGTGCGGGGGGTGGGAGGGGTGGGGGGGTGGGGGGGGTGGTTGCACACATGCAAGCAAAACTCTATTTGACATCCGGGAAGAGAGAATCTAAAGCAATTAAATTACTGATAAAGCAAACAAAAATAACCGGGGTTTTTACTCACTCTGTTGAATTGATGAAATAGATTATAAGAGAGCCGATGCTTAGTACAAAGACAAGGATCACCTGAAAACAGAAAAGGACAGGGACAAGATGGTCTTTTATTGACATGGACTAAATAAGCCCATGAAATTGTGTTTTCTATTTTAAATGAAGTAAATATTGTAGTGTATTTTTATCACTATGTGCAGGGAAGGAGGAAACTGGTTTTCCCTGACCTCACCTATGTGTGTGTAGCACTATGTTCAACATTCATTTATGCCAGTATTCATTCATTCATTCATTCATTCATTCATTCATTCATCCGTTCATTGAAGAAAAGTGGATGGAGCTTTACACTAACTCAACAGGTACCCATTTTACTTAACTTTAACTCTCACACACTTGAGTTCAGTGAATGCTTCCTGGGTGCTTAGCATGTGTCACGTGCTTCATTTCATGACAGAAATGAGGGCTCATAAATAACAGTCTTGGACTTGAACTGCCCGTGATGTGTCCTTGTGGACACTCCCCTCCTCGGGAAGACGTTACGTGAGAAGAAAGTGAGTGTTTTTACCACGCCAGTTAGTCTGGTATATGAGGCACACACATCCGGTGGAACCGAGCCAGGAAGCTGCCTATGCCAATCCCCCAGCAGGAAGGGGTACACCAAAGAGGGTCATGGGGGTGAGTGTGTTTATAATACATTGTATACATGCATTACATTGTCCCCCCAAATCAGCTCTCTTTCTTACACACCCAGGACTATCTGTGCAGGGTGGTATCACCCATAGTGGGCTGGGTACTCTCACATCAATCATTAATCAGGAAAATGCTAATGACTGATGAAAAGAGAGGCCACGGGTTTGAAGGAAAGCAGGGAGGGGTAGATGGGAGAGCTCAGAGGTAAGAAAGGGAAGGGAGGAATTCTGTAATTAAAATAAAGTCTTAAAAATAAACAAGAAAAAGAAAATGCCCACAGACTAAGCATATTCTCAAATAAATACAAGAATAAAAATCTAGCTATAAGCTGGGCGGTGGTGGCCCACACCTGTATTCCCAGCACTCGGGAGGCAGAGGCAGGCGGATCTCTGTGAGTTCAAGGCCAGCCTGGTCTACAGAGCCAGTCCAGGACAGGCTCCAAACCTACAGAGAAACCCTGTCTCGAAAAACAAAAACAAAACAAAACAAACAAAAAATCCAGCTATATATATATTTATGTTGGAACAGAATTATCCATAATAGAAGGTACCAAAAAGACAATAATTAAAATGCAAATATCGGCTAATATTTAATATGCCCTAAGTGGTTTACACATATTATTATCTAATTCTCTATAATGCTCCAAGAAGGCCTTATAAATCTCCTTTACAGTCATTGTATATAGCTGAAATCCAATTTATAAAAATCAGTTTATAAGGGTTGGAGAGATAGCTCAGCGGTTAAAAGCACTGGCTGCTTTTCCAGGTGTCCTGAGTTCAATTCCCAGCAACCACATGGTGGCTCACAACCATCTGTAATGAGATCTGGTGCCCTCTTCTGGCCTGCAGGCATACATGCAGGCAGAATGCTGTATACATAACAAGTTAAAAAAAAATCTTTAAAAAGAAAAAAAAAAATCAGCTTATAAAAAGTCAGCAAGCAGTAAGCTGAATGTGAAGAGTGGCCCCCAAGGCCAGAGCAGGAAAACCCCTGCCTGTCTGTGACCAGTGCTGAGCTGACATTTTCTGGCTCAAGCTGGGTCCCCAGCCCTGTCTCCCCTCCAAAGCCTGAGAACACTCATCTGCCAGGCCAGGTTTAGCCCAAAAGAGCCTGGAGAAGACCAGCTCCCACAAGCAGTGGCACCCAGGGCAGCTGAGAAGACTGTGCACACCAAGGAACAAGAAATGGCTGCAGTTAACTGCCACGGAATTGACCAAGAGTGGCCTGTGGCCCTCCTGGGTGTCCACTGGGCCTGTGAGCATCCACTGAAAAATCCCCCTGGTGAACTAAAAGCAAAGTACGTTGTCTAATAAAGGCAAGAACAAAAATCCAGCTCTATGACACCTGCAAGAGACACAGGTCAGAGGAAATAGGACAAAAGGGTTGAAAGGGAACAAACGTAGAATTTATATTATGCTGATACTGTATTGTAAGATATGCCAGAAGAAAGCAGATATTCCCTATTGGCTAAGAACACTAAAAAGACAGTCTAATAGGTGACTCTAGGCAAGTAGGACTATACCATTCAAATTCTGTTGGAAATGGAAGACATCCAATAAAAAAACAATGAAGGCTTTGACATGCCCCTTTCAATCATTCAGCAAATAATTAGAGACACTGAAAAGTACTGCATGAGTATCAGACAACACATATTCTTTCACAATCCATTAAATGGTAGTAGAAGTTGATTGTGTACTAGACAATGAAGCATTTCTCATATATTCTACAAAATGGCAGTGGTTAAAAAAAAAACAGCTAATGGGGCTAGAGAGATGGCTCAGAGGTTAAGAGCACTGGCTGTTCTTCCAGAGGTCCTGAGTTCAATTCCCAGCACCCACATGGTGGCTCACAACCATCTGTAACAAAATTTGATGCCCTCTTCTGGCCTGCAGTCATACATACTGTGTACATAATAAATAAATCTTTTAAAAAAAAAAAAAGTGCTGAGCTAGCCACTAGAGGCCAGGCAGTGGTGGCACACACCTTTAATCCCAGCACTTGGGATCTCATGCCTTTGATCCCAGTATTTGGGAGGCAAACACCTTTAATCCTAGTACTTGGGAGGAAGAAACAGGACATGATATGGCTGGGCAGAGAGAGAGGAAGTGATAAGGCAGGGTGGAGACAGGATCTTGGCCCCCTTTTGGTCTGATGATTTAGCAGAGGTAAGAAGTCTGGTGGCTGGCTGCTCTGCTTCTCTGATCTTTCAGCTTTCATCCTTGGTATCTGACTCCAGGTTTTTATTATTAAGACCAATCAGAATTCATGTTACACTTTCCTTCTTAGAAACTAGAAAAATTAGCCACCTAATCTAAGCCCCTTCACCTCTACCGGAAAGTCAAAGCATACAACACTTTCCAAACAGATGTTTTTCTAGTATTTATGTTCTAGACACATCTCTATGAAAAGCACAAAGTGCACACGACTTGACTAATGAAACTTGCAGAGGGGCAAACAATAAGTATAAAATCTAAGTAATTTTGCTCACTTAGAGAAAAATAAAGCAGATTGATGACTAGAGCGCCCTACACACAGTGCTTAAACACAGCTAAAACCACCCCAGGAAAGAAGACGCCTACCTGTGTGACCAAAGTCCAGAGGGGACTATGATCATGTCCAAGGCTACAGTTCATTGGCATGAGAACAGTGTAAGTGAAACTCACCAACACTTGCCCCACGAAGGTCTGTGCAGAAAGCAACAATTCTATGCGGTCATGAAATACTCTATAAAAGTAAAATCTTCTTAAAGGATTAAGGCCACTTCTCCCTGATGAGAACAGTTTCTGTGAGCGAGAAAAAGGAATGGCCAGTGAGCTGCAGCTTGAGAGAAAGGATTCCTCTTTAGGCTGGGGAGGGTCTTGTCATGGTATTAGTCAGAAATAATTCTACCTTCCCCAACCCAGGAAACGAACACTGTGACCACTAAACATTTCCTAGAGCAGTCAACTAAAGAGATTTCTAAATGCTACAAACTACACAAACACACCACACACACACACACACACACACACACACACACACACACACGCACACGCACACGCACACGCACACACACACACACACACAGAGAGAGAGAGAGAGAGAGAGAGAGAGAGAGCGCATATGTTCACCATACACATTAATCTGCAGAGTATCAGAATTCTTTCCCCAATAATTTTATAACATTGTTTAAAGTCCTGTCTTCAAAGGTTTTCTTTATTTTTATTTATGTATCTGGGTGTTTTGCCTGAATGTAATTTCTGTCCACCAAGCATGTGCCTGGTGCCCAGGGTAGCCAGAAGAGGGCATCAGATCCTTTGGAACTAGAAGTATAGACAGTTGTGAGTCTCCGTGTAGGTGCTGGGAATTGAACTCAGGACCTCTGGAAGAGCACCCAGTGCTCTTAACCCCTGAGCCACCCCTCCAGCCCTGTTTAAAGTCTTTAAAGTAGAAACAACTGCAGAGTAAACTGTCTTATCAATAAAATCTATGAACTTCAATACTAGATATTCTCAAATATAAAAATATAAAATCCATATTACTAATAACCTTAACTTTTTATTCTTATTTCAAACTATGCTACTTTATACCACCTTATCATTGAGATATATTTAAGCAAAATTTGCAATATGAATTATGATACACACATAAAAATGTATTCTATTACAAAAAAACTACTATAATCTCTTCCAGGAAGAAACAAAAGTTTAAGAAGTGAAAAGGATAACAAACTACAGAGGGCTTGATGCAATTCTTCCATTAAGCTGATTGTGGTGGCGCACACCTTTAATCCCAGCACTCAGGAGGCAGAGGCAGGCGGATCTCTGTGAGTTCGAGGACAGCCTGTTCTACAGAGTCAGTTCCAGGTCAACCAAAAAAAATTAAATAAATAAAAAAGGAAGAGAGGAATTTCAAACAATGTCATCTTCATAGAGCATCATTTGTTCCTATTGTCATCATTTGTTCCTGTTGTCATCATTTGTTCCCATTGTCACCATTTGTTCCTATTGTCATCATTTGTTCCTATTGTCACCATTTGTTCCTATTGTCACCATTTGTTCCTATTGTCATCATTTGTTCCTATTGTCATCATTTGTTCCCATTGTCATCATTTGTTCCTATTGTCATTTGTTCCCATTGTCATTTGTTCCTATTGTCATCATTTATTCCTATTGCCATCATTTGTTCCCATTGTCATTTGTTCCTATTGTCATCATTTGTTCCTATTGTCATCATTTATTCCTATTGTCATCATTTGTTCCTATTGCCATCATTTGTTCCCATTGTCATCATTTGTTCCCACTGTCATCATTTGTTCCAATCATTTGTTCCCATTGTCATCATTTGTTCCCACTGTCATCATTTGTTCCAATCATTTGTTCCCATTGTCATCATTTGTTCCCACTGTTATCATTTGTTCCAATCATTGGTTCCTATTGTTATCATTTGTTCCCGTTGTCATCATTTGCCAGCAGTTAAATCACATCAACCTTTGCAAAGTGAGTTAAGCTCCAGTAAATGCCCAGGCATTTGTGGCTGGTGTAGCTAACACATAAAAACACATAAAGCACATATACATACAGACACATAGAAATCATGCGCGAAGACTATTCAAAAGAAAGAGTGAGTTGCTGTCTGTGCCTCTGTGACTCCCTTCAGTAATTAACAAAACTCTCTGAAACAGGTCTCATGGAGCCTAGGCTGATCTCAAGCCTACATCGGACATAGTCTTCGTAGCTCTGGCTGGCCTGGAACTCGCTATGTAGACCTTTATGTTCTTCTTTAAAATTATATATATATATATATATATATATATATATATATATATATATATATATATTC